ACGCATTTCTTGCGGATGTTGGGGATACATCGTAGCAAGGCGGCCCGCGGTGCCTTCGGTTACATAGACGAGCAGGCCGCCCGGTATAGGATCACAGTGGGAGTAGGCGTCTATGCGGCGCGCCACAAAGACACTTTGATGCAGGCTTTAGGGTATCGTAGCTGCGAGAAGAGATATCTCGCACAAATATGTCATGTCACGATTTATAGTGATGGGCGTTCAGTCGCTATTCTACGCACATACAGATTACCTAGGCACTTACCCAGACACTTCAAGTAAAAGTTTGTTGATCTTTCGCCTCGTCACAGCTGGCGCGTGTCGAGTACACAGTCTCAGAAGCTGACAACTTTCTTCGGCTTCTGCGCCGGGTGGCCAAACGACTTGACCCCTCCCGAGAACGCACCGACCATGACGGCGGCACTCTTTTTCTGCCGCTCGTCCCTCTTCTCTTCCCGGGTGACCTCCGCTGTCTTGCGCCTGAAGGTGTGGAAGTCGTCCTCGTCGGCACCGGCCTCTGTGCCCGTGCCGACAAACACCGCTGCCGTCGTGCCATCTACAGCTTTGTATAAGAAGCCCATTTCGGAGGGGAGAGGGGAGGACAGGTTGCGCGAACGTACCGGTCCCGCTGCTGCCGTTGCGGAGGCCGCAGTGCCGCGCAAGGTGCGTCGTCGCGCCGCAGAGCCTGCAGCATCCGCCGTCGGGGTACACGCCCCGCGCGGTGTTCTGCGGGCACGCACCCGCGAGGTGGCCCGTGCCCGCACACACGAAGCACGCCGCGAACGGCAGCGGGTTCGCCGAGTCGTGCGGCGCCGGGCACCGTGCGAGGCTGTGCCGCGTCGAGCCGCACCTGTAGCACATCCCGACGGCCTGCTTGCCCAGCGGCGCGCCGCCGCTGCCACCCGCAGCGGACGACAGCGCCTGCGGACAGTCCCGCGCCGCGTGGCCCTGCGCGCGGCACGCGAAACACGTCGTCTGCGCGGCGCGCGCGCGCTGGCGCTGCAGCCGCCGCTGCTCTGAGGCGAGCCTGCGCGCATCGGCCGCTCCTGAGGGCGGGGAAGTTTTTGAGCATGGTAATACAGGTTGAGACAACGCGACAGGACGCACCACGTCTCGCTTTCAGCTTCTTCTCCTTCTTCTTCTTCTCCTTGCCCGCGTTTGCCTTTGTCTGATTGTGCGCGGCGCTAGCGTCCGCGCCGTCTCCTGCCTCCACCTCCGCCTCTACGTCCGCAGAGCCCTCCGCGTCGCCCTTGCCCGTCTCGGCTGTAGCCTTGCGCGGCTTCCCGCGCTTCCGCTTCTTCTTCGCAGGCCTCGCCGCCGGCGAGTCGTCTGCGACGGCAGGCGCAGGCTCGGGTTCGGGCTCGGCAGTGCTGGAGGCAGCGTTCGACGGGCCGGCCGCAGGCTGCTCCTCGTCGTCGGCGTCGTCGTCCCTGTACTGAGCGGTCGCCTGCACGTATTTCCGTTTGATGCCGAGGTTCGAGTAGCGGGTCATGGCGTGTATGTGTGCAGACTGAGGGCAGAGAGGCGACCGGGGGCGATCGAAGTACGGGATCAAGGTAGGTAGGTATGCGTGCCAAAATTTTGGCGCGCCGCGATGCCGCATCGGCGATGGATTGATGCGCCCCCTCCGCCACCCCTGCCTGAAGCGCCCACAGCTCGAGTATGCCATTCATTGAAAAAGTGATTAAATTACAAACATCATATAATACACACAACAATTCCGTGATGCAGAAAAAGACAGCGGGAGTACATAGAGGCGAACGAAGGGCCCTACTCCACCGGCGACTTGCCAGCAGCGTAGGACCTCAGACAGTGCACAAGAGGATAGTACACGATCTCGGCCGGTTTGAGGTATGCATCGACAACGTCACCTCGTGTGCCCTGCCAAACGATACCTTTAGCATTCGCGCCGCCGAGGGGGGAGAGGGGTCAGGAGCGTTGCTTACGGTCATCCCGGCTGCAAGCTCGACGTTGTCCAGCAGATTGCGGCAGGCAAGCCGGACCATGTGCCACGCGTCTTCGAAACCGGTGAGCTTGTTCCCGATCTCCTTGCAGTCCGCTTTCGCGTCGGCTATGGTCTGCTTTGAGATGCTCGATTCTTGGGTCTGGTTCCGCGCTGAAAGTGGGATGTTTGCGGCGATGAGTCTCAAGCTTAGAGCTTGCTGTGGGTACGATGTGCTTACATTCATTCAACACAACGTCTACGTGCACGAATGGACCTGGCACAACACACAAATGTGAGCCTCAGATCAGACTCACAGGTACAAGGCTTACCGCAAGTGAACCGGATAGCCCCGACTCGGGAAAGCATGTTGTAGAAGACATTGATTATCGCCTTTAGGAGCGCTTGCAGGCCCTGTTGCATCTCCATCAGCACTACATCCGACTATATGCGTCTAGACATACATTCCAGATGGTCATGCACAACCTGTTGTACACCGTCAAAGGTCCGGCACTTGCCAGTAGCTTTACACGGGTGGGACTTACTCTTCGACGCCGGTCCACAAAAAATGTAGCCAGTTGCCCTTGTCGGCCTCCTGCCTGAGGAAGCTCGAGACCTTAGTCGGGAACACCTCGACCTGTTTGGCAAGGTCATGGAACTGTGCAGAGATTCTCCTCGCTGTTTCTTGATGTACCGGGACCGCCTGAACAGATTTCGTTATATGTGTCTGTCATCGCACCGCGACGAGCCAACGCACCTCGGTGAACTTGTTGATCATGAACTTCTTGTCGTCTGGGGTCATCACGCCCTCGGACAGCGGGATGAGAATGGTGGCATAGTCTGGGGAGCTTCAGCCGCCGCACGCAGCCACATCGGAAGAGACGCACTGTTCAGGAAGCTCGCACACTGGCTCGCATTCAGCTGCGAGTCGCGATACAGCTTACGGTGTCTCTAATCCCTCTGGGGATAAGCTGCGCAGCCTCCGGCCGCCACGCGGGGGGCTCACCTTCATCAATGCATCCCACTCCTGCGCAAGGTCGTGCTCTTCGCCGATCTGGGGCGTCGACTCGAGCTGGCCAGCGACGCTCTTGAACAGCTTCTGGATCTCCTCGTGGTCGCGGGTGAGGTGGGCAAAGGACGCCCGGAGGTCGTGCTCGCGCTGCACGTCGTCGTACGACGGCAGGCTCTGGGACATCGTGCGGGGGCGACGTAGGAAAAAAAAGGGTTGATATGTCAGGACGGGGCAAGAGCAGATCGCACGGCGGGACCACGGTGCGCATTCAGTAAGGCAGAAGCCATGAGGCAGCTCGTCCGCGTTTGGTAGGCGCAGTGTTGGAGAGGGAAAGGCGTTGCCACGTGCTCGCGTGCTGGCGGCCAGACCTCTCTCCGCCTGATCGTCCACGGAACTCGTGTAACGGTGCGCAGCTTGCATAGATGCCGCAGCGATGCATATCTCAGGGCATCATCAAGCTGACACAGGGTGGTAAGCATGGTTTTTTTCTTGAAGAAACCCGGCCAAAATTGGGAAAACAAGAACCAATTGTTTCCTGGTTGTACAATGGGGTAAATTGGTGCCTAAATTGGTGCAAAACGGGCCAAAAGAGGCTGAAACGCGACGAAACTAGCGGAAAAGGAAGGTTACCGGTTAAACACGGGTTCTTGTTCGCCTAGCTTTTGGCTGCAAGCAAAAAAACTGTGCCTACCACCTAGTGTGAGACCCACCAGCAATTTCCCAGGATCTCTAGAGATGTCTGAAAGCGTCTGTGATGTCTGGGACAGTCACTTCTAGTACGCCGGCACCCAGAAAATTCTTTGGAGCCAGAGATGTACCTATGTACCCAGTACGGGCCCCCAAACAACGTTCCTAGAGCCTAAACATGGCGCCGGCACCCAGTAGTCTGCAGTTTCACACAGATCAGCAACTCATTTTGTCGGTACCGCCAGTCGAGCAGCTTTTCTCATTCACACATACCCGGCATGACATAGTGTTCAATGAAGCAGTCAGCTAGCTATATACTAAGTTACGCAGCTACTGGCTACATTGTTATTAATCGCATACCAGACTGTCCCTGCTGCAGCTTGATGTCATCGCCGGTCGGTTGAACACTGTGACCAACCATGTACATATAGGTGTGTGAATCTCGTTGCCTGGCACCCGCGCAAAGTCTGCGCCAAGGAGCACAGGCTATGCATGGGTCCCCGGGTGCCAACCATTCTCTGTGGATAGCGAGAGTTAAGGTATATCTACAAGGTTGTCAGGAAGGAAAACGCATGCAAGGCGTTCAGTGACGACTTGTGCAGTGGCGTTTGTGGTGACGGCGGCCTTGTTCGCGACGTGCATCTGCGCATTCAAGCACATTGGAAAGCCCGCTTGAAAGACCCCTGTAATATTTGTGTGACTTTAATGCCGTTCGGAAAGGTGTACCCGTGGCTAAATGTTTCCTTTCAGATGCATCGTCCGCGAGAGCACTAGAGCGACCTAGAATACATGTCGTAAGAAGTCACGTAGTACATACTTTCTACGCAAGGCTACACCAATGCTGGAAACACATCGACGTATATACACAATACATAATATTGGGCTCGGTAGTTACATTCGGTTTATCATGTCTGAACCTCCAATCGTCGATATCCGGATTTATAGATCACTCTCGTGCGTCTTTTCCACGAGCACCGTGAGCGGGATGGCTTCTGCTTTGGATTCTCGTCCCAATTCCCAGTCTTCATTTTTGCGTACTGGCGAGAATACTTGTGATTGAATACCTGAGATAATGGTAGGAGTAGTCTGCATCTCGCTGACACTTATGCTTGGCTTCGGTCGCCATGAGTCTTGCAAGGGACCGCTGACCGTCGCTGCATCTCTTTGCTGCTTGTAGTTCAAGCTCGAGCTCCACGCTGTTGACTAGTGAGCCGGATGGCGTTAGCAATCGGCGATAAAGAGCTCACATGTAGCAAATACCACGCCAATGATCGAGACGTAATAATTAGTGAAAAGGAGATAAACAGTGTTGACGATGTGGTTAGGATCAGTGTAAAGATCGACAATGAGAACAATGTTGAAGATGACTGTAACCAGACGTTAGTGAAGTCACCGATTGGGAAAATGTTAGTCACTTACCAGGGATGACAAAGTTGCCAAGTGCTATCCAGAACAAGAATCTAAGCCGGGAGCTGAGCGAGCTCGATGAGGGTTGCACAGAACGGTTCTGGTATGTACTGCGGTTCGGGGATCGCCTAGACATGGCGTTAAAGATCTGGCTGCGGTACAATCTCAAGATGAATAGAGCGGACAGGTAACTACCAGAAAAGCGTGAGCAATCAGCTCGATATGTCGGACGGAGAGAGCTCACGAGTTGTCGAATATTTGTAGGAACCACTCCACCTTGCTGTATGGTGAATGTCTGTAGTCCACAGTCTCGGCGGCCTGCAAGCCAGAGGCTGCATGGTCTGTCTCTCTAATCCAATGATGGTAGTACACAATCAAGCAGGATAGACGGACGATCTTGACGGCGACCGGGAAAGCGAAGACCGCAGCCAGCTTCGCTTTGGGCGTCTGCGAAGGTGGAAAGACGATCAAGAGTCGGAGAGCAAGCACAAGCTCCGCAAGCCATGGCGCAATACCGAAGAAGATTCCGAATGCAGAGAAGTCTGTCGAGCTGATCGATTCTGTTGGGTGCAAGATAGCTGAGAGCTTTCGAGACTGTAAGTCTTTGCGACCCAAAGTAAGACCGAAGTACACTTACCTCGAGCTGATCGTTCCAGATCGCTATGGCAATGCCGAGTAGAATCATGACGACGTTCAGAATAAACACTGGCTGGCGTCGTGTAGTGGGCGTGGAAAAATAGAAGAGGGAGATGAGAATAGGCACGAGAATCGACGCAAATATCGTTCCAATAAGCGCAAAGCCGAGCGGTGTACGAATCCCTTTAGCATACCCCTCCAAAATGGACGCGATTATCTCAGGCGAGATTTGTGGGGCTGCAGAAGCAGTCGCATTGCCTGCGCCGCTGGCGGAGGCGGCAGCACTCATCGCTGACATCTGCGCAGCGGACTGGAGAGTTGGGATGATCTATGGCACGGTGAGCAGCGACATCTATATACCAGTACTGGGGTCATGGGTTATAGGTCAGGCGCTGAACGAGAGCCAGGGCGTCGCGCCGGTGTTTACGGAGACGCGTATTTGCCCGAACAGTCCCGTTGAGTAGAACGGGGTGTCATGTTGCGCTGCGCGCGGCGAAGGCAACTGTGAGCCTGATTGATTGTGGTCAGACTCTCCTGCTGTTCACACTGCAAGATCATTGTACGTCTCCGCCGTGATCCCGCATCTCAGAGCTGCAGACCTTAGGCACGTCCAGAGCCCCAATACTTGAACTTTAAGGCCAGACAGATGATGATATCCCTGCAGTGAGATTCTGATAATAGTCACGAGAGATAGTCGAAAAGACGCACCTTGGAATGGGTCGGAAGCTTAACTTGGTAGCGAGGCAGTGGAAACCTTACTGAGAGGCGGGATCGAAACGAGCCTCCAGAAATTCCGATACCCTCACCAAGATTGGTTGGCAGGCGATAACGAGGTGGTCCTAGACCAAGTTAGAAACTGTTAGACAATATGGAGACTACAATCGCCGCTAAAGCCATATCGCCATATTGTGTAGTCCCAATCTAGGAAAAAGAGAACAGCCCTTACTACTACTTCCTGAATATTCCAAGTAGTTCTGTTAGACGGATAGACTGAGATCGTGAATGCAGATAACTCGGGGACAAAAAACACATCCTAGCCAGCATCGATATCTATCACAGAATATGTAGTATGCGGTGAAGGTGACAAGGGAATGTGAATGGACTAAGTTAGATGCAGCTGCGCGCTAGATTGTGCGCGCATTAGTGATGGCGCCCAACGGCGGCCGATCGTCATTATCATCGACTGATTAGATAAGGGCCGCCTAGGGAGACTAGTTATAGCTTCTAACAGAACAAAACATTAAGCCGCCTGTGTAAACGTTTGCATCGCAGCTTTCTTTACTTCATTTCAATCGTGATAAAATAGCTATCATTTAAAAAAAAATACTCCATCTTACGACCGTGTCCGCTGCAGTGAATATCTTTTTACTTACCGCTATTGTGCTCAATTAAGCAGATGTTCGCGCGGAGATTCTGATCCTTTGTTTGTTCCGTCTAAAAGTAACGAAAGCTGCGAGGCGAACATTTGCACAGGTGTTCTAATGTTTTGTTGGTGGCTGTAAGCTGCAGGAATTCCAAAATAAATAAATAAATAAATAAAGGAATAAAGAAAGAAAAAAAAAGAAAAAAAAGAAAGAAAATAAGCACTACAGTAGCCGGGACAACGTGAAAGCAGAGTTTTGCCATTGCTGTTAGATATTGAATGCTGTGCCCTGTGGAAGATGAACAAAGAGGGTACGAATGTAAATGTCTCTTCCTTATCAAACTGTAGGAATAACGATCAGAAACCGCAGTATCAAGGCCCAGCTGTCAGGCCGGGGCAGCATCCTCTCAAGTGAAGAACGACGTGTCCGAGGGGAGACCTCCTGACTTCTCCTGGACCGGGCTATCATGCGAAGGATGCGGGCATACAGGCGGCCCTGCCAATCATCCCCGATTTGTGGCCCCTTAAGCAGCTTGACATTCACTGGCTGCGCT